TTTCTAAACGTTTTCTAGTGTGACTTCTGTAGCTAATTTTTCCTACTTTATTTGACCAGTGGTCACTCATCCAGACCTGCCAAGTACTCCCGATGCAATAAGAGCCCTCCGATTTTTTTGCCTTCTCTCAAAGAACCCCAATCAGATTTGCATAAAATCCAATGTTTTCCCTTGAATTCCGTTTCCATCGGTCGTATTCAATTTGTCGTAGATAACCTGAAAAATGCGCAGGTTTATTTGCAATATTTCCACGACTAATTATAATAAATGATGTGAGAAAAATACACACTTTTATTTGCGACATACGTGTTTATTATTTACTGCGGTTGGTTCACAACATAATCTTAATCCACTGAAATTTTGCAGACTCCAGATCCCCCCCCCCCCCTCCCATATCTGCGGTTTTTAAGGGGGATTCTGAGAAAAACTGGTATTTTTGGTGAAGGAGTGGTTAGCAGGTCTGTCCATCTGAGTTCTTGTATGTTATTGTTGGTTCTGTGTCTGCGTATAAATGATTCATGCAATACGTTTTTGCGACTGCAAATAAAAGAATCGAAAGTTCTGGAAGGTATTTGTGTGTTGAGTGGTACAATGATAGACGTAGTCTATGTACTGTACTGGTATATGATGTGTTCTGTACAATCTAGTAATACACACATAGCGAAATTGGTGGGGCGTGTAAATCTTTTTATCATTTACGAACTTTAAGAACAAAGGAAATGTATGTAATCTACTGGGTATTTATATTAAAAAAAGATTGTTTTGCTATGTGTGTACTAGACAGTTTATTACTTTTATTTGGTCACTGACTTGGATTTCATCATCGTCATCATCACCTTTATCAACATAGTACTCGACGACACTGAGTAAAAACGGCTCAGTACTCGACTACCCTGGGTTCAGACCAGCTCAGTACTCGACGACACTGGGTTAAGACCAGTACTCGACGACACTAGGTTAAGACCAGCTCAGTACTCGACGACACTGGGTTAAGACCAGCTCAGTACTCGACTACACTGGGTTAAGACTAAGACCAGCTCAGTACTCGACTACACTGAGTTAAGACCAGCTCAGTACTCGACTACACTGGGTTAAGACCAGCTCAGTACTCGACTACACTGGGTTAAGACCAGCTCAGTACTCAGTGCTCGACGACACTAGGTTAAGACCAGCTCAGTACTCGACTACACTGGGTTAAGACCAGCTCAGTACTCAGTGCTCGACGACACTAGGTTAAGACCAGCTCAGTACTCGACTACACTGGGTTAAGACCAGCTCAGTACTCGACGACACTAGGTTAAGACCAGTACTTGACGACACTGGGTTAAGACCAATACTCGACTACACTGGGTTAAGACCAGCTCAGTACTCGACGACACTGGGTTAAGACCAATACTCGACTACACTGGGTTAAGACCAGCTCAGTACTCGATGACACTGGGTTAAGACCAGCTCAGTACTCGACGACACTGGGTTAAGACCAGCTCAGTACTCGACTACACTGGGTTAAGACTAAGACCAGCTCAGTACTCGACTACACTGAGTTAAGACCAGCTCAGTACTCGACTACACTGGGTTAAGACCAGCTCAGTACTCAGTGCTCGACGACACTAGGTTAAGACCAGCTCAGTACTCGACTACACTGGGTTAAGACCAGCTCAGTACTCGATGACACTGGGTTAAGACCAGCTCAGTACTCGACTACATTGAGATCAGACCAGATCAGTACCCAGCTCAGTACTCTATTACATTGAGTTATAACCAACTTACTACACGATGACACTGGGTGAGTGTGAGTGGTTGACAGAAGCTCTGGTGTGATTTGCTTCTTCTTTCCTATCAAACATTTATAGTCCTTATATCTCTCCTCCTTCTTTTTGTGTTTGTTACTAATTTTACTCTCTTGTAACACCTCTAATTTTCGACACTTATATTATGACCTTATTGTATTGCAAGTGCCGTAAAACTCTTACTAAATAAAATAAAAAATGGGTGAGTCAGATACTCGACTTCAGTTCAGACAAAGTGGGTACTGTACTAGTCCTACAGAAGCAGTCTGGTGAAAAATAGAAAAAAGTCCAGGTCTCCAAGTGAAAGGCCAAAATTTAGTGTGAGTTTTACGACACTTGCAACACAATGTCACATAAGTGCCCAAGATTAGAGGTGTTACAAAGAGATTCATAGGGGCTCTCCTGGCCTAGAGGTTAAGGTGTTGGCCTCTCATTCAAAGGTCCTGGGTTCGAATCCGCCGGGTAGCGACCAAAACATTTTCTTCTCTAAAGTTGTCTCCTTTTACCTCCTTTCCTGCTCTCTAGCAATGTTCTGTTGTCTTCTTTCGTTTCCACTTTCTGCCCCCACCCCCTCCTCTGGGCTCCTGACTCTTTCTGCAGCCTACCTAGCCTTCTCGGATAAGGGCGAAAAATCTCGGAGGGCCCGTGTGCAAATTGCGCACGTTAAAAATCCCTCGGTGGTCTAAAACCGATAAGAGTAGGCTTGGGCCGCCACCCGGGCAAAATTCAAAATTTCCTACCAACTGAAAAATATTAGGTGTGTCCCGCGCGCTCATATGACCCTATGCATTTGCGAGCGCCGTAAAACACTTTACAAAAACAAAAAAAGATTCATACCCCC